CCCCCCGTTCTATGGGATTTAACATGGGATTACTGGTTAAGTCTATGGCATAGGAATAACATGGGTAATGCTTAGTCTATGGCATAGGAATAACATGGATAATGCTAAATCTATGGGAGTAATGTTGTTTCAATGGGATAATGCTTTTTCTATGGAGATATACTAAATGAATCTGCCATAATAAGTCGAACTAATTGTAGTCAAAAACATTTAAAATTCTTAAAATAATAATAGTGAGAGTATTCTAACAAAAGTATTGAAAAATTAAACATTTTTTGATGCATTTCCCGAATAGTGGTTAACGTATAGCATCGCTGTGTGTGAGTTGTTTTGTAAATTATAAAATATAAATTATCACTTAAACACGGTTCACACAGCGATGCTATACGTTAACCACAATTCGGGTATTGCTTAAAGGATAGATTAGCATTAGCTAATTATATATTAAACATTAGTCCATAGAATTAGCATTGCCATAGGATTTGCATTAGTCCCATAGAAATAACATTGTTCATAAGATTAGCATTGCCATAGATTTAGCATTACCCATGTTAACCCTATGTCATAGAAGCTGTAATCCCATAGAAACTCAAGCGTTTCATGTTAAACTTATGAGATCTTCCCCATGTTAAGGTATAACCATAGACTTAACCAGTAATCCCATGTTAAATCCCATAGAACGGGGGGGGGGCCGAACGATTCTATAAATAACATTATTCAATGCTGAATTGTGGTTAAAATATAAAAGCATATAGAAGTAATTATTGGTAAAAATTATATGTAAGTAATATACTGTATATATTATTTCTACCAATATATCTAGGCAAATATATAATATTTTAGTTCATAAATTAATTTACAGATTTAATCAGTTGAACTTGATTTAACATGATATTACCTGTAAAGTAATGACAATTTATACGTTATTTACGTTATATGTAAACTCTAAAAAATTCAGATTGGCGGTATATGTGAATAATCCATGGCTAAATTTGTTTCGTGTATTATTCCCTCCCTATAATTATATACGAACAAAATATAAAGCTTTTTTTTGTACGAAAACCATTTGTTGAAACTTATAGTTTATATTTCATCAGTTATTTAAGTCAAGGATTTGAAGTCAAATGACTTTTTTTTATGGCAAATGAAATAAATCTATTATTTATTATAAATATGTTTAGAAAATATTTATCACAACAAATGTATTCTAAATTCAAGGAAAATTTAATCATTAATTGCATCCAAATCTTCATCCAATTGCCTTTCGTTGTCCTCATTATTCTCCATGTCTTCAATTGTCATGTTATGTAAGGATAAGACTTGAATCAGACGTAAGCTATACTTATTGTGTTCACAAATTTTGGACAAATTGTCGAAATGTCGGCTCAGATTGTGTTGAAGGAGACGTAAAGTTGGAGCCATAGCTTCGACACTGTTGTTGGCCTTAAGAGCGGTTCCGTTATGAGACAACAGCCTTTGACACCATTTCAGATAGAATTCAATGTGTTTTGTCGACTCCAGACTTAATGCAATCGAATGTAGAAACTTTTCGACATAATTATTTGGAAGTGTTGTACAAATGAATGGTATTTCTTCGATGGGAACTCTTTCGACCACTTCTTCGATTAAATTCTGATCATTGAGTTTCAAAGCTTGCATTAATGACTCACAGAATTGGTTGGTATTGAGTAATTGTCGACAAGAATTGGGTGTTATGTGTGTTTCGAGTTGGAAGGGATCGAAAGAATTGCAATTGTCTAACGTATAGATCATTATTCCTTCAGTCGATGCGAAGGCAAATGTTCTCATTGTTGGCGAAAACTTGATATCAAACACAGCTATTATGGGATTTACAGAGCGGTCACTGAAATCGCTTTTAGAAACGCCGGGCAAAGAAATGGGCGCATAACTCGACTCCTGGTCTCTACTCTTGATTAACGATAAGTTGAATCCAAATTCTGACAATTTTCTGGAACTGATATAATCGTAGAGTCCATCCATCGATAAATTCCATGTAATCGTAAACTTTTTCACCAATAATTTCTCCATTACGTGATAAATGCAAATGTGTTTCGACTTTCCGGCGCCCATAATAAAGGTTCCGTCCATTGAGTACTGAAGTGTTGCAAAATACTTGTTCTTATCGGCGACCACTTCTCGTTCGTAATGAGAAGTTCCCAAATCATTCTTCCCTTCAATTCCGACCCCCATTTGTTCCCCGGATTGCGAATCATAGAAACAAATGTCTCCGTTGAGAGTGGAAACGGCGAACTGTTGTCCGTCGCCCCTAAAGGCAACGGCCAGAGCATCGCTTCCCAACCGAACCACTTCTCGCGTACATTTGGATCCTTCAAACAAACTCCATATGCGAACGGTTTGATCCCAAGAACACGAAACCAGAATGTTTGAAGTCGGAGAAAACTTTAGACCAGACACCGGAGCCTCATGTCCTGTCAATACAAATTAAGCCTCAATTATAAACAGATTACGTATACATTTAAGTAATATTACAAACCAGAGAGTGTCTCAAGCATTCTTCCCGTTTGCAGTGACCACAAGAATATCTCAAACATATTCTGCGAACCGCAGGCAATAAAATCACCGCCCAATTGATCGACGGCTAGACTCATGAATTGAGCTGCTTTTGAGCCATCGGTGGGCGACGTTAGGGTTCGGAAATTGCGGTATCGGTTCAAATCAAACGCTTTAACGGTTCCGTCCAATGAGGCAGAGATCAACACTTTGCCATTCTTTGCCGGAACAAACTCTAAGCACGTGACCGGACCCTTATGTTCAGAGAATGTGCTGATACAGAAGCCACTGAACGCGTTCCAGATCTTAACCTTGCCGTCAGTGCCACCACTGGCCACAACAGTGGCGTCGGGAGAGTATGCGATACTTTGGCACAGATTGGTTACGCCCGTGGAATAGCCGCTCTGTTTCAATATGAATGACTCGCTCTCCCACTCCCACACTATTAACTGGGATTCAGAATTCAACTCATTCTCGATGTCGTGTTTATTGCCCGAACCGATCGCCGAACCAATGGCTATCCATTCGCCCGAAGGGTTCACACAAATACTACTAATTGATCCGTTATTTGATAGTTGAAGCGAATGAATGAGAGTTATGGCCGGCATCTCATACAACATGAAAGAGCCGTTACTAAAGCCGACGACAAGTAGTTTAAGTTTGGGATTGTATTGGGAAGCAGTCAAACGCAGCGTTGAATATGTCTTCTGTAAATCGGTGTTAAAGTAATGACTCTTTTGCTTCGTATATCTTAACATCATTTTGTCTTCGTGACAAGTAGTTTAAGTTTGGGATTGTATTGGGAAGCAGTCAAACGCAGCGTTGAATATGTCTTCTGTAAATCGGTGTTAAAGTAATGACTCTTTTGTTTCGTATATCTTAACATCATTTTGTCTTCGGATGGTTTGGAGAAGTGTTCAAAACTTGTATAATTGGATTCCCAGATGAATAGCTGTCCGTTTCTACTGACGCTATAAATACTCAATTCATTTGGAGAGCTATTGGAGAAGAAAGTGGACACTATTTGGTCGGTGTGTCCCGAGAGAGTCACCGATTGGCCCATGTTTTCGATGCTGCGGTCGATGGCGAAGATTCTTATGATAAAGTCTTTGCTGCCGACGATCAATAGTTTTGAGTCCAAACTCCACGACAGACAACAGGTCTCATCGAAAGACGATTTGATTATTTTGTGTGTCTTGAATGCCGAGAGCTGTCGTCCATAGCCTTTGATGGCCACTCCGGGCGTCAGATAGACGACCACCTGATGTGAACCGCAAACCGCATAATACCTGCCGTCGGGACTGAATTGCAAGTCGTTAATCGTTTCGCCCATTTGTTTGAAGTCTTTGCGCTGCAAAACAGTTCCACTCAATAGCGATACCAAATAGATTTGAGTGCTTTGTGTGGACATCAATAGCAGGGATCCGTTGGGCGAGAGACACACATTGGCCACATTGTAGTCGACCTCGAGGTCTAAGGCCTCACTGCGACCGTTGTTGAGGTGATAGATGACTAACTTATTGCCGACCGGACTCACGAGGCCGTTGCCGTCGGGCAGAAAGGCTAGACTCCCGCCGCTGTACACCGAACCCAACACTTGACCCAAACTGTACGACAACTTCATCGCCAAAACTAATACAAAGACTCAATTGTCGGACAAATCAATAATTGTTATAATATTGTCGACTAAAACACATGTATTTCACGTGTGTTTGTATACGACGGCCGACACGTGACGTGCGATGCACTCAAAACACTGAATGAGTGCCAAATAGTTGAGTGACTTTTAAATGACAAAAAAATTTGGTTGTTATTAACCACTCATTTGTATAGCAATTAAGCGATTGGTTGTGAATATTGTAAACAATTAATGATATATTGTATTGAATGGATATAACGATTGCAATGATTGAGTATTTATGATAATTATATGAATGTATGACATATTATGATAGCATTAGAGGCAGTGATTACGTACTGAAAGAGTAACAAAAAACCCAATAGTTTGGCAACAATTAGTGTTTTTGATTGCAATGTCTTATAGTATGGAACCGATGGTTAGATTCAACGCTCAGACCACTGGTCGCGACAAACTCTTCCGGTATTGACTGCAATAATGAATGCTTTAATTGTTGTTTAATTGTA